TTTATTTTTAGAACCACACACGCCAAACAAAACAGCTCCTCAGGAAAAACCCTCAGAGCCCAACTGCCACCACCGGCTTCCCACAAGCCTCTCAACCTCCCCCACTCCTCCTGCTCTTGAGGCCGATTGGCTGGGTCGCATGGGCGGAGCCAAAAACGTCCCCCAGTGAGCAGCTCCATGGTCTGAAAGGGCAGGGAAACAGCCCAATGAGCATCACCGCAGAGGAGCCAATCAGCTAGAAGTTGCTGGGGCCGCTGTGAGCCAATCATCAGCTGGCAGTCTGAAAGGGTGGGGAAACAGCTCAATGAGCATCACCTCAGAGGAGCCAATCAGCTAGAAGTTGCTGGGGCCGCTGTGAGCCAATCATCAGCTGGCAGTCTGAAAGTTTGCTGGGGCCCCTTCGGCTGTGTCTCTCAACAGGGATGTGGCTCAGTGGTCAAGTGCCCCCAAGTTCAATATCCGGTATCCCCAGCCCCCCAAAAATCAAGTTACCAGTAATCTCATCATACAGAGATATACTCAGTGGACCATTTATTCCATAATCTAGGAACACTTAGCCCACAATTTAGTAAATGTTTGTAAGCTGACAGACCTTTTTTTGTTGCCCTCTGTTCATTTATTCAATGAAACTTTACTGAGCCATGCATAGCTTTGGGTGGTAAACACATTAAGCATTTTAATTGAAGTAGTTTCAGTTAAGTTTGAGTAAATCCATTTGTAAATATTCATTAAAATGTCCATTTGAGGGGCTGGGAATGTGGCTCTGTGGTAGAGTACTTGCCTAGCATGCCTAAGTTCCTGGGTTCAATCCTCAGCACCATCAAAAAAAAAAAAAAAAAAGTCCATTTGGGAATATTAGTATAATTTAGATATTAATATCTAGTTCTATTTGAATGTATTTTAGGAGATTTTCTGCATTTATTAATGGTATTTAGAAAAACCTTTGAAATGCTTATAATGCTCAGTAAATTCTATTATCTTCAGATATTTGAGCTACTAAATGAACTATTTAAAATGAATATCTAAACAGATTTTTTTTCTTTTGTACCAGGGATTGAACCCAGGGGTGCTTAACCACTGGGCCCCATCCTCAGCCCTTTTTGTTTTTTATTTAGAGACAGGGTCTTGTTGAGTTGCTTAGGGCCTTGTTAAGTTGCTGAGGCTGGCTTTGAACTTGCAATCCTCCTGCCTCGGGCTCCTGAGCTGATAGGACTATAGGCATGTGCCACACAGCCTGCCAGGTTTCTTATCATTTAAAATAAATAAATTTTATTGTGTATATTTATGTATACAACAAGTTGTAAGATACATATATGATAAAATGGTTACTGTAATAAAACAAATTAATGTATATGACTCCTCACATAATTATTCCTCCTGCCATGACAAGAGCAGCTACAATCTACTCAGCAAAAATCCTAAATACAGTACAATGAACATGGAAGCATAGGTGTCCTCACAAGATGGTGGTCTTATTTCCTTTGAGCATATACCCAGGAGAGGGATTGCTGGCTCATAGGGAAGTTCTGTTTTTAATTTCTTTAGGAACCTGTTTTCACAGCTGCATCAATCTACATTCCTACCAGCAGTATGCAAGGGCTCCCTTTTCTCCACAGCTTCCCAATACTTGTTTTCTCTTCTTTTTTTTTTCTTCCCACAGTGTCAGAATCTATTAAGTAAGAGTGAAATCCATTGTTTTTGATAATAGCTATCCTAACAGGTGGAGGAAATGTTTCACAGTGGTTTGATTTGCATTTCCCTGAGGATTAGTGATGGTGAGCACCTTTTCATGTACCTGTTGACCATTTTTATGTCATGTTTGAATAAATATCTATTTGAGTCCTTTGCCCATTAAAAAAAAAATGGTTATATGTTTTCTTGCTATGAGTTGTAGGAGTATTTTATAAATCTTTAATATTAACCCCTTATCTGACACATGGTTTGCAAATATTTTTTTCCCAAACTGTAAGTTGCCTTTTCAGCTTGTTATCTTTTTCTTTCCTGTGTAGAAAGTTTTAAATTTGATATAATCCCATATATTTATTTCTACTTTTGTAGTTTGAGTTTTGGGTATAATATCTAAGAAGTCATTGTCAAGGCTGTTGACAAGGAATTTTTCCCCTGTTTTCTTCCAGGAACTTTATGGGTTCAGGTCTGACATTTACATATATATTTTCATTTTAATTGATTTCTGTATATGATATATGGGCCCAATTCCGTTATTTTGCATGTAGATGTCTAATTTTCCCAGCACCATTTTTTGAAGAGACTATCCTTTCCCTATTATATCTTTTTTGGTGTTGAAAATTAGTTAGCCATATATCCTTGGATTTATTTTTAGGTTTTTATTCTCTTCCACTGGTCTTTCTGCTTGTATGCCAGTGTCATACTATTTTGATTATTGTAACTTTGTAATATAACTTTAAATGAGGAAGTGGGAGGCCTTCAACTTTGATTTTTTTTCTCCCAAAATTCCTTTGGCTACTTGAATTTTTTTTGTGTGTGTGTGGTTCGATACAAGTTTTAGGATTGATTTTTCTACTTCTGTAAAGAATGTCATTGGTAGTTCAAGAAGGATTACACAGACTCCTTTAGCATCGATCTTTTTACCCTGTTGGTGGGCTTCATTTATATGCCTTTGCTACTGAAGTTTCAACTTTCTCTGCTGAATCGTAAAATGACTAATACAGTTTTCAGAGGCAGACAGCACCATATCTCATTGCTGACATGAGTTCTGCTGTGCAGTCAGCCACCTACTACACTGTTGTGCAACTTAAAAATTTTAAGTTGTCTTATATGGAACAGGGAAACTTTAGAGGGAATGAAGAAAAGCATTCTTTGCTTGGTATTGCTGTTCATTTTATGATACTTTATTCCCATTGCTCATCCCCTCACCAGCCTCTCCCCATGCATTTGCAGGTGGTAAATTCTCAGTTTTCCTATAAGTACTAGGAACTACAGTGTCAGTGAAAAATAATACTGCACAGGTGCAGTGGTTCAGTCCAGTAGGTGTGGCAGAGGCTGTGACTACTCTGCTAGGGATATGGGCGAGCCATTGAAGCTTCTAGCAGCTGGGCAGACCCACAGGATCCAGAGTAGAAAGGAGCTCTGCAGATTACAGGAATCAGAACTGAAGCATTTATAAGTCAAGGGACCAAATGGGAGCTGAGGTAAGGGGAGAGAGTAAGGAAACTAATGAAGGGGAGGAGATAGACTAATAGAATTCTGATTAAACTGTCAGGAATTCAGGTTGCTGTACAAGGAACAGAGGAAAGACAGGCCAGCTCAGATGCAAAATTCATATTCAACAAACATTTATTGAGCACCTATATGTATTAGGTCTTTATTTCTTATCTTAGTTCACAAATGACAGATATCTTGATTTTATTGTTAAGAAAACTGAGATTCAGGGCTGGGATTGTGGCTCAGCGGTAGAGTGCTCACCTAGCTCGAGTGGGATCCTGGTTCGATCCTTATCACCACATAAAAATAAAGGCATTATATTGAGTCCATCTACACCTAAAAAAATTTTTTAAAAAAAGAAAGAAAACTGATATTCAATATCTAAGTGGTAGAGCCTGTTGAAACCTGTGTCTGTCTGACTCAAGCCCGGTGTTCTTTGCACTACTTCATTTAATTTATTTTTTCATATGGTGTTGAAAATCGAACGTAGTGCCTCACACGTGCTACACAAGCAATGTACCACTGAGCCACAACCCCAGCCCCTGCACTACTTTATAATATCAGAACTGAGAGGCTCTCCTGTGGATGCCTGGGACAATAGTGCCACCACTGTAGAAGCTGACTCCAAGCCTTCTCTGAGTAAAGTGGTGCTCCACTGGAAACTCAAAAGTGTTATATTTTATTTTATTTAAAAATAAAAGTAACAGCTAGGTGCGGTGGCACACAGGAGTGAGACCCTGTCTCTAAATAAAATACAAAATAGGGCTGGGAATGTGGCTCAGTGGTTGAGTGCCCCAGAGTTCAATCCCTGATAACCAAAAAATAAAATAAATAAAAGTAATGTAGGTGCATGGCAAAATATCAAATAGTACTGAATAACATAACATGAATATTTATCCTCTCTCCCATCATCTCCATTCCTAATTATAATCCCACTCCTCAGATGAAACAACTCACAATAGTGTTTTCAGTGCTTACTCTGTAGAGTGCTTTTGTGATGCAAAGTAGCATTTAACACACCAGATGGTAAAACCATATCCTATGAGAAATAGTTGAAGGATCCAGATAGGTTTGATCTGTAAAAGAGAAGACTCCAAAGGGGCAGGGATGCTATTTTCAAAGATCTGGAGGACAGTTTTGTGGAAGAAGAACTAATCCTGTTGCAAATGGCCCCAGAGATTGCAGTTGGAACCAGTAGCATGGACAGTATTGGAGAATCAGATTTTAATTCAGCAAAAGGAAGAACACAGTCAGAGCCATCTGAATAAGGGCCAAAAGTGCCTCCCGTAGGAGATGTTCCATAGAAGAAGGCTACAGAATATTGGAGAGATGGTTGAAATTTTAAATGGAGGGGTCAAGAAGAGAAGGTGTTTTCTGAGTAAACATCCCGTAGGAATGATAATACTAATGATGTGGATATGTGAAGAAGGCATCCCAGGAAGAGGAAGCAGCAAATGCAAAGGCTGTGAGGTTCCCTGAGCAGCAATTAGGCCAGTGTGGTTGGAGTCCAGTGAATAAAAGTAGTGAAAGATGAAATCAAGAGTGGTAACAAGGGACCAGGGTCAGCTCATGTGGGTGAAAATAGAGTTGAGAGCTGTCTCCAATGTGAATATCTATCTTCACACAGTGGTGAGGATCAAGTGAGATAGAAATGTGCTCCCAAAACTTTGAGATTTTGTATGAATATGAATTTTGTGGATTAATGTCAATAAGCAGGTCAAAGACCATGAGAGAATACAATGGTGTAGTCCTCTTGCATAGTGGAGCTCTCAGTAGTGGTTGCTCTATCAAGAGGCTGTTTCTTACTTTTGATTTAGAAATTCCATCACCCAAAGTTAAGTAATCTTCATCGGGAGAACTTCATCTGGAATCTGAAAAACATTCCTCTTCTGGAGAAATATGTGGATGCCTTGGGCCAGAATCGAAATCGGGAGATTGTTGAGCAGGTCATTCAGCTGTTCAAGAAAGAAGTAATGACCAAATTAAGTCATTTTCGAGAATGTGAGTATTTCCCCAATCAAGTACATATTTTTCTCAGTATTTATATTGTCAGATTTATTTTTTGAGGTGACAGGGATCAAATACAGGGCCTCATGCATGTTAGGCACATGCTCTACCACTGAACTACATACCCATCCCTTTTAAATTTTGAGACAGGGTCTTGCTGTGTTGCCTAAGCAGGCTTTGACCTCTTCTTGAACTTGTGAATCTCTCAACTCAGTCTCCCGAGTAGCTAGTTACAGGCATGTGCCATTGTGCCTAAAGATCAAACTATCTTAATTTTTTAAAAAAATTTTTTTAGATGTTGATGGACCTTTATTTTGTTCATTTATTTATATGAAGTGCTGAGAATTGAACCCAGCACCTCACACATGCAAGGTAAGTGCTCTACCACTGAGCCACAACCCCAGCCCCCAACCTATCTTAATTTGTTTAACTTTTTTTTTCCATGAACTAGAACCCTGCCTCATATTTTGAATGAATGTAATTTTTCTAGGTATGTGTATGGCACTGATCATTTTCTGCATGATGCCAGTAGTTTGAAATTCCTATATCTTCCTGGCTTTTTAAATTTTTTGCTTTATGTAGTGATTCATATAGTGATAATACTTTTACCTTATTTCTTTTTTATATTAATAATTATATTTAAGTATTAATTTAATGAATATTTATGCATATTATTATAATATTATTTACACTTTATTTAAACATGCACACAATGTAACAATATAATTTGGCCAATATCACTCCCCAGCACTTTCTCCCTCCCTCCCTCCTTCCCCATTCCTTGATCACGTTCATCTAACTTTTTAGGTTTTCATATCTGGTTAGAGTATGTATATCTTCCCACATTTTTTTTTGAATGGGCATTTTTTTTTAGTTGTACATGGACATAATACCTTTATTTTATTTATTTACTTTTATGTGGTGCTGAGGATTGAACGCAGTGCCTCACACATGCTAGGCAAGCACTCTATCACTGAGCTACAACCTTAGCCCTCTTCCCACATTCTTGTTCTCCTATAAGAGTCTTAACTATTTTTGGTCCTTTACATTTCATATCAATTAGAATTAGCATGTCATGTTTTTTTAAAAAAATCTGTTGAGATTTTGGATTTAGTCTCTGGATAAATTTGGAGAAAATGGACATTATAGTGTATATTATTTTTTATAAGACTGGTATTATAATCTGTGAACATAGTCTATCTGTCTCTCTACTTAAATAAAGATAGACTATGGGCTGGGGTTGTGGCTCAGTGGTGGAGCGCTTGCCTTGCATGTGTGAGGTACTGGGTTTGATCCACAGTACCTTAAATAAACAAAATAAAGGTGTTGTGCCCGTCTACAACTGAATTTTTTTTTTTTAAAAAAAGATAGACTGTGTTCATGGATTAGAATTTAAGATATAGACAGATAAATAGATAGATATTAAAGTTTATAAATTTCTCCAGAGAGGTCTTATACTTCTTTTCTTGATTTATTACTAGGTACTTGATTTTTTAAAATACTAATTTAAATGTTATCCCAAATTTCACTTTCTGTTTGTTGCTAGTATATAGAAACAGCACTTTGTAATATTCATTTTTTTTTATTCTTTTAAATTTACACCTGTAATCTGAGCAACCTAGGAGGCTAAGGCAGGAGGATTGCAAGTTCAAGACTAATCTCAGCAACTTAAGTTCAAATGTTTATTTCAAAATGCTTCTCAAGTTTCTTTGTATGTATCATCTATAAATAATTATACTTTTATTAAAAAAAAAAAACAACCAATTCTTTTATTTCTTTGCTTTGCTTTACCTTACTGGGCACCTTTGTGTTTTTCTCTGTTACCTGTGGGGATTATTATAAGTTATTTTGTTGATAGCCTTCACAAGATTAAAGAAGTCCCCTCTATTCCTGGTTTACTAAGAATTTGTATCATGCGTATGAGCCAGTTATGGTGGCATATGCCTGTAGTCCTAGCTACTCAGGAGGCTGAGGTGGAAAGATTAGTTGAGTTCAAGATCAGTTGACAATATAGTGAGACTTTGTCTCAAATTAAAAAATAAAATAAAAAGAATTTATATCATGAATACATGTTGAATTTTATTAAAAATTTTTATACATCCATTGAGATGGTCATTATTTTTCTCTGATATGGTAAAATTGTACTGGTTATTTCTAATGTTAAATCAACATTGCATTCCTGGTGTAAACCTAACTTGGACATGATATACATTTTTTTTATCATCTTATTCGGTTTGAAAACATTTTATTTATGATTTTCACATCCAGGTACACAAGTAAAATTTACCTATAGTTTTCCTCTCAAAGTGTCCCTTTTTGGTTTTATGTTAGCCTCATAACATGAGTTAGTTTTTCTGTCCTCTCAGAGATTGGAAGACGGGATTTTGTTTTTCTTTTTTAACATTTGAAAGTAATTTTATGATGAAGCCATTTGATATTGGATTTCCTATAGGGGAAATTTTTAAATAAATTATTTAATTTCTTTACTATTTATAGTACTATTTTTATTTATATTTTACTTATTTTGTCAGATTTAGGGAGTTATATTTTCCTAGTAATTTGTTCATCCAAATTAATATACTTATTGCCATAATTTATTTTTATATCATTTTATTGTTTTATTATTTATTTTTAAAGTCTGCCAAATCTTTTGTGATATCTTTTTATTCTCAGTAATGATTATTAGATTCCTGTCTCGTGTTTTCCTGATCAATCTTAATAAAGATTTATCTATTTTTAGTTTTTCTGAAGACCCTCTTTATTATATTTTAAAATTAGTATTTTCTTCTTTCTCTTGGCCTATTTTGCTTTTTTTTTTAACTCCTTAACATGAAAATTTAGCTCATTAGGGGTGTGACAATATAGTGAGATGTGTGTGTGTGACTGATTGTGGTATCAGGGATTGAACCCAGGACCTCATGCATGCTAAGCAAGGCTTCTATCACTGAGGTATGTCCTAGCCCTTTTTTCTTTTAAAACAAGGTCTCACTAAATTGTCCAGGTTGGCCTGGAATTTGAGATCCTCTTGCCCTAGCCTTCCAGGTAGCTGGGATTACAAACACACTTTGCCCAGCTAATCCTATTGTTTTAAAGAACAAAATGTGGAAGTGTATTTTTGTTAGGCTATTTTTCTGGTCTAGTAGAGGGAAAATATCCTCCTCATTTTGTTTCTTATAATTGCTTTAGTTTGTTTCATATTGTAAAGATCAATTGTTCTGATATTATTGCTAAAGCCCCTACTTTTTCAATAGCTTATTTGGGTATATGCCATTCTTAATCTTTTTTTTTTTTTTTTGGGGGGGGGGGTTTAGTTTGAATTTTATTTTCAGATTTTTACCATATACAATAAATACTGCATAAGCTTTGTCTTTGGTATATTAAACATCTGATTTGGGCAATATTTCATCTGAGTTCATTTGGAGAAATACAACTTAGCTATTCTGCTTATAAACATCAAAAAAGATGCCAAAAGGCTGGGGTTATTGCTCAGTGGTAGAGCACTTGTCTAGCATGTGTGAGGCACTGGGCTCAATCCTAAGTACTACATAAAAATAAATAAACAACAAAAAAAGGTATTGTGTCCATCTACAACTAAAAATATATGTATATTTTTAAAAGGTGCCAAATTAGAAAATAGGGCATTAACAATCAGAGTTTTTTTAATTGGCCCACACACTTTTTTCTAACTTGCTATTAAGTTAACTGTTATATTTAGCATTTTCTCTTAAGGTTGGTAAAGGTAAGAGATATTATGCAAGAGATTATGCCTTTTGCGTTAGTGGTCCCTGGGGTTGTACTTACTCATGACCAAAAAAACCCAAGACCACTGGCACCAAACACTTTTTGTATTTTATGGGTTATAAGAATTGGTGAGGGCTGGGGTTGTAGCTCAGCAGTAGAACGCTCACCTCGCATGTGCGAGACCCTGGGTTCGATCCTCAGCACCACGTACAAAAATAAACAAGTGAAATTAAGGTGTTGTGTCCAACTACAACTAAAAAATAAATATTTAAAAAAAAAAAAGAATTGGTGAAAGCCAAAGTGAATCTTTGGTTTTATAGGCTGGAGAGTAGAGAATCCTGTATTGCATTTTACATAAAAACAGGAAATATTTTAGCAGCTTAAACCTTTTTAGTTACAGAACAAAATTTATTACATTGGGTAATATAGTTTATGACCAAATCAATTATCACATATATACATGGCACTTTAGCATAAAGGCAAACTTTAAAAACAATTCTGGATTTTAAAATTAGGCCAGAGTATAAAAAACAGTGCATGATCTTACATTCAGCAAAATCATACTAACATCCTCCATTTTGTAGGAAAAAGGCCAAAATAAACTTTACATATGACACAGTAAGTGTATTTATTACATGGCTCTTCTTCCCTATATACTTAGAATTTCCACATAACACAACTCCCAATTTTAAGCTTTGCAAAGAATATGAGGCCAAATACTGTTCAAATAGATTATGCAGTATTATAATACAAAAATGTATTTTGAAAGCTTCAACACTATTTCTATAAGAAATAGTTTTGATGCATCTGTTAGCAGACACCTATCTACTGTGTTTAAGAAACAGGGCTATTGGTGTATACTGTGCCTCATTTGAATAAGCTCCAAGTATTCTTTACACATTCACCACTGTGCTGTTTAAAAAATACAGCTATTGGGTTGGGCTTGTGGCTCAGTAGTAGAGCACTTCCTAGCAAGTGTGAGGCACTGGGTTCAATTCTCAGCACCACATATAAATGAATAAAATAAAAATAAAGCTCCATCAACATTGAAAAAATATTTTTTAAAAATACAGCTATTAAGAAAAATTCATGTTTTCTTTTGGCAGTGCATTAAGTTGTTGGCCCTTTAGTAGTTTGGCTTTCTAGGTCATTAAACCTTCAAATATCCACCTAGTTTTCAATCCTTGGTTCAGCTAGATGCTTACTCTGTCTGGTTCACTAAGCAAATCTACTGATCCATGAATCTTAAATTATTATATTTTCCCAAGTAAACAATAGAAAAAGTTAACTTCTTTACCATCCCCCAAACTTTAACTTGAATGGTTTTCACTTAAAAGTTATTCAATTGAGAATACTTACTATCAGGTACAATTATTTAGTTATTTTAAGTTTTACTGATAACTACTATTATATTAGAGTACACACAATACATAAAACAAATGAGATGCAGTCTGATTAATAGTCTTATATTAATAGCAGTTTCATACAAATAGATTAATTCCCTAGTAAATTTGTAATTTGTTACAGACCAACTGACAACTATTTGTAAACAAAACTAAGTTTTAACATGTATGTTATCTTATGCCTGGCCTTTAAGTACAGTTTTAAGTTGAGATGTCATTATTTCTCTGTTTGAAGGATTAAAGTTAACAGGAACCCAGTGTCTTGGTGGTTTGGGAAAAACATTGGGTGATGGTAGCTCACTAAATTTGGCTCCAGCATCATTTTGGTTATCTTGAAACTTAAAAAGCAAGCTGGGACTTAATAATGTACCATTCCAATTTGGATTCTTTGGAAAATTTTTGTTCTTTCCACCATTTTGCATGGCCTACTATGCAGCTGCTGATGAGTTATAATGGTCTCATTTTTTTTTTCTTATGAACAGTCTTCTTCTGGGAATTCTGATCCTTGGTCTTCTATTAAGTTGTTTTGGGTTCTTATTACTATTTCTAGATTTAGGAGCTGGAATGTTACACCTCCTTCCATATTGTCACCTTTCAATTTTCTTTTCAGATTGCAGAATTTCCCCTACTATCCTCTTCTTGCTGCCAAGCCCAGGATAATAGAGGTTTAGTTTTTGATAGATCCTTTCCTCTGTTTCAGTATAGAAATTTTCATGGGCCAGTCTGCTGAGTTCAGCCTAGGAACTGAGGCCTACATCAGCACAGAAATTTGAGAAAAGTCCTAGCAACTTCGAGTTTGAACTCTCATTCCTAATTAGGTGTTGTTCAAAGCACTTTATGTTAGAGAATGTAGCTATCAATCTCTTACAGGCTGCACACCCCCAGTACTGATACATAGTTTTTCATTTTCATTTACTTTAAAATATTTTGTAATTCACCTTATAATTTCTTCTTTTCACCTGAATCTATAAATTCTTTTTCCCAGAATATGAGAAACTTTTTTTTAATACTGGGGGTTGAATCCAGGGGCTGTCACCCCAGTTTAGTCCTTTTTGTTTTTTATTTTGAGAGATGGTCTTGCTAAGTTGCTAAGGGTCTCACTAAGTTGTTGAGGCTGACCTTGAACTGTGATTCTCCTGCCTCAGCCTCCCGAGTTGCTGGAATTACAGACATACACCACTGTGTCCACCTAAACTTTTTTTTCCGAAACCTTTATCTTTTTACTATTGATTTCTGCTGTCCCTTCATTGTAGTTAGAGAACATACTCTATAAATGTTGTCCAGTAGGATTCTAGTCAGTGAAAGAATTGTTCTGTATCTGTTGTCCAATACAATAAGCATTATGTGTGGCAAGTGAGTACTTGAAATGTGGCTACTACAACTAAGGAAATGAGTTTTCAGTTTCATCTTTTGTTGTTTGTTTGCTTGTTTGTTTGTTTTTGTCCTGGGGATCAAATCCATGACCTTGTACATGGCAGGCAGACACTCTACTACTGAGCCACATCCCCAGCTCAATTTTATTTAATTTTAATAAATTTAAATGACTACATATTTGTTAGTGGCTACCATATTGAACAGAGCCCTGCTATCTGATTTCAGTCCTTTGAAATTTACTTTATGATGCAGATTTAAATCTTTATAATATGGTATTTGGTAAACTTTTATCAATAGATCACATGTGCTTGAAAAGAAAGTATATTCTGTAGTAGTTGAATATGGAGCTATATCTATGCCCAGAAGGTCAAATATGTTAATCATGTTTAAATTTTCTATACCTCTTACTATTTTTTTATCTACTTGTTTTATCAATTACTAAGTAAAGTATATTTAAAATATCCCACTATGACTGTGGATTGTCTATTCTTTGCTTGTATTTCTGTCAAATTTTGCTTTATATATTTTGAGACAATTATATGATACAAATTTCAGAAATGTGTGGTTTAACGTCTGTGATTTATAGTAATGTTCATTGGTTCTGTGTACCAGTCACTGTGCCTCATAATTTAAGCATGATTTAGACAATCCTGAATCATATAGAAGAAATTAGCATTTTCTTTATAAAGTTTGTTTCTCAGTGGTTCACTGCTCATGGACACCCTAATCTTATCTTAATCCTTAGTCAGTGGCTTAAATCAGTACTTCTCAAACTGTACATGGTAAACAACAAGTTTGAGGGTTCTTTCCCCCAACCCATTGTGTATTACATGGTCCTACTGTGAATGATTAGTTGACAGCTCAGGCAATATCCAACTATCCCTGTTAGATAAAACTTAAATTGATCTACACTCTGTTCAATGAGATAAGGCCACTGATCATACTCTTAAATGTCAAATACTATAAAATTTTTTAAAATATATTTTTTAGTTGTTGATGTACCTTTATTTTATTCATTTATATACGGTGCTGAGAATCAAACCCAGTACCTCACACAGTCTAGGCAAGTACTCTACTACTGAGCCACAACCCCAGTCCAAATTACTATAAAACTTTCTAAATACTCTGTTTCGGTTCTTATCTCATGTTATAGTAACATTTTGTAGGCTAGCACTGGCCACAGACTCCATGTTAAGAGGTACTTAAAAATACCAGCATCTATTCCAGTAATCAAAAAATGGGAAATCAGGAATGCCTTGTCCTCATAAAAAACAAAAAATGTTTTGAAACCCCAGATGTAAATAAAGGTTTCTTTGGTCCATTCTAGAACTCCTTGCCTTCTACAGTAATTTGAAAATGTTTATATTCTTTTTAAACCTTTCTGGCTTTGAGTAGTACTCTTTTTCGATTTACTCTTCTAGCAGTCAAAATCAAATATTAGCAATGACTGCATTCTCCATCTTCTGGTTTTGTATAGATGAGAAGCAAATGCAGACAGCACAAAATTACATGCATTTGTCCTTTTCAGAGAAAATTATTTTATTTCAATAAAATTGGGTTTGACCCTTTATCCCTGACTGCTCTTCAAATTGTTTGAATAGCCTTGCCTAAGAAAAAGAAATGGAAAGAGAATGAATTGGGATATTAAATAACTGTTTTTACATGATTTTTCTACTTTCAGGTATCAATCATGGCGATCTTAACGACCATAACATTTTAGTAGAGTCCAGCAAGTCAGCCTTTGGAGATGCTGTATATCAAGTATCTGGGATTTTAGACTTTGGAGACATGAGCTATGGCTACTATGTGTTTGAAGTGGCAATCACCATCATGTACATGATGATTGAAAGCAAGAATCCTATACAAGTAGGAGGTCACGTTCTTGCAGGGTTTGAAAGTATAATCCCACTGACAGCTGTAGAGAGGAGTGCTTTGTTTTTACTTGTATGTAGTCGATTTTGTCAGTCACTTGTCATGGCTACATACTCTTGCCAACTACACCCAGAGAATAAAGAGTATCTCATGATTACTGCAAAAACTGGGTGGAAACATTTACAGCAAATGTTTGACATGGGCCAGAAAGCAGTAGAAGAAATCTGGTTTGAAACTGCCAAGTCCTATGAATCTGGGATCTCTTTGTGACTACATAATTAAAAATGAATTGATCTGTTAATTAATTGATGGAACGGATCAGTTCACTTTTAACTATGTGCATTTGTAGTGTGTGTGTGTGTGTGTGTGTGTGTGAGAGAGAGAGAGAGAGAGAGAGAGAGAGACAGAGAGAGACAGAGACAGAGACAGAGACAAAGAAAAGATACCAGAAATTAAACCCAGGGGCACTCTACCACTGAGCTGTATCTCCAGCCCTTTATATTTTTTAAGAGAGAGTCTTGTTAAGTTTCTGAAGCTGGCCTCAAACTTGTGATCCTCCTGCCTCAGCCTCTCAAGTAGCTCAGATTACAGGTGTGTACCACTGCACTCGGCCCTACCTTATTAATTTTTTAACAAGATATAATATAAGCCAATATTTAATGAGCACTAAGTATTTTACATGCACTTTATCATTTAATCTTCATAACTAATCCATGAAGGAAATATTGTTATGATGAATTCCTGTTTCCAGATAAGGAAATAAGGGTTTAAAAAGTTGAATTAATTTAGTCAAAGAGACCCACAGCTTACATCAGGTCTTTCTGATATAGCCTATGTTCCTAATCACTACAGGATTCAATATAGCATACTCTACTTTTTCCCTTCTCTCTGGTCTCTCCACCTCAGCCCCTACCTCTACCTTCCCCCACATGTGTTAAGAGGAACAAATGAGATCATTCACATGAAAGCACGTACGCTTCTCAAACTTAAGGGATTGTGGTTTTTATCTAATCTGACCACTGAAGAAGCTGGGGACCAGAAAAATAGACTGAAACTTTGATTTTGCTCCTAGACCTGTGTTCATCCTGTTATATAACAAAATCCTGCAGATTTTCCTCTTGATTGCTCTTACTAACATTCTTTCACTGAATTCCTAATGAAAATATTGCTGACCACTATTTCAGTATTTAAATAATGCTGCATTATGTTGATAATTTACTATTTGGGGTTTGTTCTAGCTTATCTCTAATCAATCAATTCCATGTAGTTTATACATTCTTCATTGGCTGTGATGGTTAATTTTAAGTATCAGTTTGACTGGGTTAAGGGATACCCAGACAGCATTAATTTGGGGTGTGTCTGAGAGGGTATTTCTGGAAGAGATTGACAGTTGAATCAGTGGACTGAAAAGGGAAGATCTCTTCTCACCAATGTGGGTAAGCATCATCTAATCATTTTGGGGCCCATATAGAACAAAAAGGCAGAGGCAAGATGAATTCAGTCTCTCATCTGGAGCTGGAATATCCATCTTTTCTTGCCCATGGACATATACACTCCAAGTTCTTCGCCTTCAGACTCCAGGACTTATACCACCCCCCCACGCCCCCCCACGCCCCGCCCCCATTTTCAAACTGAAAGTTATATCATCAACTCCCCTGGTTCTCAGGCCATTGGACTCACACTGAATTATACCACTGGCTTTCCTGATTCTCCAGCTTGCACATGGCGTATGGTGGGATTTCTTGGCCTCTGTCTTAAAATAATAAGTTCCCATGTAACTTTCCATAATAAATTCCCTCAGATCTGTCTGTCCTGTTGGTTCTGTTTCTCTAGAGAATCTTAATACAGTGGCATAAATTGAATAAAATTTAGTTCATATCATCTTTAGAACCTAGCACCATGCCATTCCCTAGCAGACCCCCAGTAAATATGTATTGAATGAACTGCAAGAATGTACACATTTCTACAAGTCCTAGGCCCTCATCTTTTCAACCAAAGAGAAAATCCAGTTTGGGATTTAGAAATCAATGCCAAATGTCTGGAACATTCTTTGCTTTTGCATGTCTTTTTCTATTCAGACTTTTATCCTAGAAAGGATGACTGCAGCAGCTTTATAGTCTGGTTTTTTTATCATTAGTTTCCCAGCTTACATCCTTTACTTTAATGCCAGATAAGAATTCTGGTTACACATATTGCTGTGTAACAATTCAACTAAAAACTTAGTGACTTCAAACAATGATAATTTTATTATCTTATTGTTTCTGTGGGGGCATGAATTCAGATGAACCTTGGGATAGCTTGCTTCTGCTCCCTGATGTCTGGGGCTTAGGCTGGGAGAGCGTTAATGCTTGTGAGAAACTCAATCACTAGGGACTGTGATTCTGGAGGAATGATTACCTATGTGGCTAGTAATGCTGGCACCTCATGTGCAGTTGGCCAAATGCCTCTCCAGATGGTCTTTGCTTCTTCATGGCATAGAGTCTGGGTTCTAATAAGAACCCTCCCCAAAGAAAAAAATAAATTATGTTACTTTTTAACTACTCTCATGTCAAATGATATCACTTCCATTATTGTCACAGGCTCATCCTGCTTCCCAGATGGGTGACATGGACCCTCTCAATGGGAACTATCAATGGCATTGTGAAAGAAATGTGTGGGATGGGATATCTTAAGCACTCATCATCCTGAAACATTTATCCTTTCCTCCTGTTTCTGAGAAGGGGGAAAATTTTTTTTTTTTTTTTTTAAGACTCTGACATTGGGCTGGGGATGTGGCTCAAGTGGTAGCGCGCTCGCCTGGCATGCGCGGGGCCCTGGGTTCGATCCTCAGCACCACATAAAAATAAAATAAAGATGTTGTGTCCACTGAAAACTAAAAAATAAATATTAAAAAATTCTCTTTCTCTCTCAAAAAAAAAAAAAAAAGACTCTGACATTGGAGGGACTTTATAAGCTGGCCTCAAACTTGTGATCCTCAAACGTCTTCCCTCAAATGTCTTTCGTCCTTTATTTCCTATATTGTCTCCTCCATTCAGGCCATACTGAACTACTCTGTCACTGAAACTTGTCAAATTCATTCTTATGCACTTTAATTTCAACTGACCCCTTCTTCTGACCTAAGAAATCCTCCCTCTCACTCAGTATTTGCTGAATTCTGCAGCCTGAACTAAGATGGCATGCAGGCACTGTCAGAGGTGCCATAAATTGTGACACTTGAGGGTGCTTTTGGAGCACCTGTCTGGATGTTCCCTTTACCACTTTGCCTTGGCTCACCCCCCCACCATGTTAGAAAAATAGAGATGACAGAAGAGACCTCCAAATGTAACTCATTTCTAAGCTACCTCCTCCTTTTCAAAGCCCAGACCAATAATTTTACACAGCCTACCTATAAAGGACAAAGTCCCTGTCCAATGGACTGAAATAACTACATAGTCAACCTACTATCCCCCAAAAGCCTAAACATGTATAGTAGGGATGAAGCTGGATAAGAAAAAGGGTGGAAAGGATATGAACATACTGTAACAGTGTAAGATAATGAACGTACTGTAATAGTGGTCCACTTTATGCTTTGAATATAAACCTTGCTGCTCTGCCCCTGCAATTTATTTTTTAAGTAGATATGTTTCATTCTCTTCCTCTCCCCCTGTTAATCTTGGGGGAAGGGGAGAACTGGATTACCTTTCTTCCCCATCCTAGTCAGAGTTAATCTGTCCTTGTGTACACACCCATCATAGGAATGGAGTAACTCAGACCTTGGGGATACTACCAGAAGATCTCAGAAATGACCATCTCCCAAATTAACAAGTGAATCACAACTCCAATAGAGAACACCTGGAATGTAGCCTTTGAAGTGCCTCTTTAAAAAAGCCCCTGTTCCTGTTGATGGGCAGAATCACGGCCTTTTAGAGTCCCTAAAACAATAAACCACCTTTTTCCTTTTTCTCAAAACCATGTCCTCCTCATTGGATTGGCATCAGGGATAAGGACTGAGATTTTGGCAACAATATAAACAAGAAAACATGACAAATTCAGCAAAGAAGATAATATGCTGTGTGCATCTGGTGATGGTAGGGCGCTCCTTTAAACTAGGTTGGTGGGGGGAGATACTTTCTGAGACAGAGAAAATGAAAGTGAAAGTTGTCCCACAGGTGTGATTCCCAATACAATTTGCTTTATATGTCAAAAAGTTCATATATTAATAATAAAAGTGGAAACCAGATTTTAGAAGGGAGACCGTAACAGAACGAAGGGTAAAGTCTGATGTGGTTGAGACAATTGTGGGGAAAGGGGCTGGAATGGTGGGTAGCAAGTCCACATTAATGCTTATCCTAGGTCCACCAACAGTGGTAAAGAGGAGAAAGTAAAAATGAAAACAAAGCGTAAAGGGAAATCCGCTATAATTCCACTTGATCCTTAGGCGGGGGTCGCCAGCCCGCCTTCCATGCCGCACAATTCGCCCCAGCGGCGCTGAAGACACCAGCCTGAGCCGACCCGCAGCAACTCCCCAGTTTCTCCTGGGCACCAGTTCTCGCCCCGCCTCCAGGAGGACTTCCGCGTCCTTACCGCCCCGCCCCCCTGCTGCTCTGCGCACGCGCGGGGGCCATATTCGCAGCGGACGCTGTGAGGCGGTGGTAGTTTTCCCCGAGACTATTTCCGTCTCTGTAGATCTCCCCTCTTCAGTGTCTTCTCTCTGGTGAGCCTTGGTCCCCGGTGGTCGGCGGAAGCCTGGTCGCTGTCCGTTGGGTGGGGATTGTGAGCGTAAAGATAGCGGGCCTCCGCCGGCAGCCGCTGCTGAGGAACGGTGGGCACGATGACTCTGCACCCGCCTCCTCGGCCTGGGTGACGGTCTGGTCCCGGACTGGCCCCCGCCGCCCGCGGTCGGGTTACCCGGCCCCGGGCCGGGGCCGCGGGACAGTGCAGGGCACCGGGCGCAGGTGGGCAGGTCGTAGTGGTCTGTGCGGCTTTGGTCCCCTGAGTACAGTACGTGAAAGCGCTACTGGATGTGCCGGTGACCTCAAACTCGTGCTTTGCCCGGCGTCAGGCTCGGGGAATCTTGATCCCGGCCCCCCGGCAGGTCTTCTTTGCGACCTCCTGCCTGCTCTTGTCTGGACCACTCTTCCCATGCACCTGCCTATTGGAACCGCACTCGTGACTAGTTACCTTGCCTTCAGCCTCTCACCAGCCTCAGGTCTTTCTAAACTGCCTTTCAGTTCCTGTGGCTTTGCGACTCTTAATCATTCGGTGGAGCCTACTTAATTAAGAGACAAAATTCAGTTTTTACGTGGGCCCTTGAGATACCTGCTTACTTTTCCAGTCTTAATTCCTAATATTCCGGGAATACGGGCTTTGGATTCTGAGGTTGGTTTTTCTACTAAATCACGCACCCCAGTTTTGTCTTTGGCGGGGATTGAAATGATGCCCAAGATTACCATACCCACCCCCAAGTTCAGAACCCGGTGTCCAACTTGAGCAATTTACCTCTTGCCCATTGAGCTTTCTTCCTTTGGTATCATTTGCTCATGCTTTCTTCTCTTCCAGGAACGCCTTTCCCTTCTTCTTTTCCCTGTTCTTAGACCTGAGGGTTTTCACCTTGTTTCTGCCTCCTCTATCTCTAATTTATTCTTACTTTCTGTATCAGTGTCTCCAAAAAAATGTTTTCCCTCCATTCTGATTCCTACTCACTCTGCTTTTTTTCTATCCCAGGGATTGAGCCCAAGGGCACCTAACCACTGAATCACATCCCCAGCCTTTATTTATTTATTTATTTATTTATTTATGGTAGTTGGACACAGTATCTTTATTTATTTTTATGTGGTCCTGAGGATTGAACCCAGTGCTTCTACCAATGACCTACAGCCCCAGCCCCTAGATAGGGCCTAAGTTGCTAAGGCTGGCTTTGAACTTGCGATCCTCCTGCCTCAGTCTCCTGAACTAGTGGGTTTACAGGGGTGCACCACCAGCCAGGTTTCTCACTGCCTTTTCCACGTTATAATCAATGTCTGTTCCTCTTGCCTGACTGCCAGATTTTAAACTCTTCGGGACAGGGATTGGTATTGCATATCTTGGTGTTCCAGCATTTGGCATGGTATCTGGCTCTTTGCAAGTACACAATAAATGTTAGCTGAATGAAGAGAGTGAATAAGACAGATTTTGAAAGTGAGAAAATGCATCTTAAAATTATGAATGTTTTTAATGATGATTCTATTTTATTTTTACAGGAATTATATAAAGTTCAGAAACCATGGTGAGTTAATAAAACATGCCAGTAAACTATTGCGTGATGAAGCTTGTACTCAGTTTACAGAATTACATGAGAAAATGGAAATGGAAGAAGAGATGGGATAGTGACTTCTTCCTTATAACAGCTTCTTCCCACACACTGAACTTTGTGCACCAGGATACATTTTATAAAATGATTTGTGGGCTTGGAGGAATTGGGTTACCTGCAGCAGATAGGAATCACTTATATGTTTTTCCTTTGCAGTCTCGAAGATATGACTCCAGGACCACTATATTTTCTCCAGAAGGTAAATAGAAATTTCTTAATCTGCCTCAAGTAAAGACTTAAGTGTTAAACTTTTAAGGAAAAAAAAAACTCTACAAAAAAAAAAATTTTTTTTTTTTTTTTTTTTTTTTTGATACTGGAGAATGAACCCAGGGGCACTCAACCACTGAGCCACATCCCTAGCCTTATTTTGTATTTTATTTAGAAACAGAGTCTCACTGAGTTGCTTAGGCCTTGGCTTTGAACTCACGATCCTTCTGCCTTAGTCTCCTGAGATACTGGGATTATAGGCGTGCACCACCA